TTAACAATAATTTTAACTAATATATATTTTATTTATTTTCTTTTATTATATTTAATTTAAAAATTATCCACTTTTTATTTTTTATTAAAAATAACACTTTTTTACTAAACTATTTGATTTTTAAATATACTTTTCTAGTCCTATTTATAGGACACTTTTAGTATATTTTACACAAACCAAGAAAAACTTTAAAATGCATTAATTCTCTGTGAAAATACAACAAATTTTTAATTTTACCCATATTTAGTATATACAACTTTCAAAAGATAACTATTTACACTATAATAAATGAAAGACAGAATAATACATTTATACTGAGAATTTAATGAAATGACTTATAAATAAGACAAAAAAAATTCTCTCTCTACCTTATAAATAGGACCAGAGGAGTAATAATATGATAATATATTTTTATTAATTAATTTTATTTAAATTATTTGATAATCTTAATGTTTATATGATTTTTTTATTATGACATTTAATTTGGTTTTAAACATAATATATTTTGGCATATAGAAAAGGGTATTTTAGTCCTTCATATTTTTGCTCATTTTCTTTCTCTTATATTTTCCCTCGTTCATCCAAACAAGATGGGTAATAATATTTTCTCTTTAGTTTTCTCTTCTCTTCATTTTTCCTCTTCTCATTTTCTTTTCTTCTAACTTTTTTCCCCATCCAAACGGAACATTAAGAACAAGTAACTCATATTTAAATCCAAAATTTTGTCCTACAAATAACTCATAATAACTATATATCACTCTGGTCCTTTTTAATGGCTATTTGTAGTAGTTTCTCACATTTTAAGGAGATCACTAAATGCATAAAATTATTTACTTTTACCCTTATTAGATAGTTAGTATTTTTTTTATTCATTCCCTCTTTCTTCACCTTTACATTTGTCTCCTTTAATTAACAGGGAGGGAATTAAAAATAAAACATTAAAAAAGGATACAAGTGATAAAAAAAAAACCAAAATTCTCTCTTATAAGTGACAATTAAAAGAGTAGTGTATATTTGCCGAGAATATATATACAGACGCAGAGCACAAACATTTTTTCGCCGAGATTTCCTTAATCCAATCTTGCGATCTGTCCTTCTATAAGATTATTTGAATAGATTTTTGGGCCAACATTCTGTCTCGGCAACAAATTCTAATTTTTTGTCGTTTATTCCTTTTAGTTGAAGTTCTTATGTCGTTTTAAGGAGGGGTGCGTACGGGTATGTGTGAGAAAGAGGCAGATTAAGAACAAAATAAATACTAGTATTTATACAAATATTAATTTATCCAATGAAACATCTAATTCTTCTTGATGCATATATGAATTCATAATTAATCAGAACTAATTTTGATGATACATAATTTTTTAAAATTTAAAACTATGACCTTAAATATTCAATCATTCAAACAGAGAAACAATTATAAATGACAAAAAAATATCTCATTTAAGTTGAACATTGTGCTGGTATAATTAATTTCAATTTGAGTATCTTGTAAAAGAAATATGTAAAACCGAAAATTAAAGGAAAAGTGAGTGAAAATAAAAGAAATCAATTTTATTTATATGTAGCCTCACTTTCATGCTACTGAATGATCTTTACTTCAGATGGCAAAAGATGAAAGCAAAAAAAAAAAAAAAAGAATGACCTTTACTTCAAAATATTTTAAAAGATTATTGATTTAAGAGTTAGGAGGGCAGAATACAGTTAGTTGTACAAATCATATGATAAATTTTGCTAACGCCTAACAACTTTGGGGACAACGATTCATTGTAAAATAAATATATCTCCAACTAATACCAATAACTTTTTAATAATATATAATAATTATCATTGTCTTCTTTTTCTTTTCTTTTTTTTTTTTCAAACTATATGCTCTCTGCTCCATAATATAAGAAGTTGGCTAACTTTTTTCACATACAAGAAATAAAAATTTAGTTATTAAATGTGTCATAAAATAATAATAAAATTTTTTTTCCCCTTACCAAAATGATAAAGTTGTATTTAACCTTAAAATGTTTATTATCTATCATCTCTCTCCTATATTTAATAGAGATAATGGTAAAAAAAGCACATTAATTATCTTGATAATATCTTATGTTTTGTACCATAATTTTCTTGTAACAAACTTCTTGTATTATGTACCGTATGGAGTAATAATTACTAATTAGGGAGAATGACAGAGAAAAAAAAACTGAAAATTGTAAATCCCAAATCAGGTTTAATAACACAATTTTATTTGGTATTGACAAGTTTGAATTTACAAATGACAACAAATTTTTGTTGACATTTCTTATTTGGCATTTATAAAATTTCAGGTTTTTTTTGGGGTCATTGTCCCTAATAATTATAACATTCATACGTGTCTACTTGATTCCCAGCGAAGCCTCAGTAAATCTCTCATTTACATTTCAAGCCCATCCTTATCTTCAATTTCATTTTCACATTTAATTGTCATAATGCGTCATTAACATCACGAACTTAAGGGAATGTGCTTTCATTAATACGGGTTGTAGTTTTTTTCTTTTTTGCTAAATTAATATGGGTTGTATTCAACATTATAGCTATAGTTCTATTTATACAAGTTTTTAAAGTCACTTTAAAATGCTTCTAAAACATGTTATTCTTTCTCAAATTAGTAGGAAAAAGAGTATATTAATCATTACATAAAATTAAATCAAATCGTAAATATTTTCCTATCTTTTTTTTTTTTGCCATCCATAAATATATTCCTATCTGTACATTATAAGAAGTATAAAATGAGTTTTATTATTTATAATTTATGAAGAAAGTGACTCCTTATAAATTTTATATTTTATATTATTGTATTAATTATGTACATTTAATTTTTGGCTTTCATTCCCAACCGACCCTCAGTTATATGCCTTTCACTTCAAACTCACGTCTACATGCCCATCTCTATCTTCTTCAACTTCATTTTCACATTTAATTAATTTTCAATAATTCATTATCAGCATAAACTAAAAAGGAATAAAGACACATTTAATGTTCGAAATGTTGATATAATCAGCAATCTTACATCTCTTAATCTATGAAATGAATTAGCTGGACACTAGTTTAATTAAAATGTTGAATAATATGCGACGAAAGAAACAAAAACTGAAATATATCATACTAAAAAAAGTAAATATTTGATTTAAATATTTACACCTTAAAATAATAAACCCTTTAAGAATTTAATGTGATGTGGTAAAATTTTTATATAATTTAATGTTTTTTAACTCTTTTAATTGTTTAGATATAAAGTAGACAAAATTTTTAAATGAATGCAGTGTCATTTTTATAATTAATATTTTTTTTAATTTTATACATTATTTTAAAACAGAACAATCGCGAGGTAGCTTGCGTTTACTAAAATTACTATGCAACAAATAATTGACGTCCATCTGGCACATGTGGCGTTAATGTGCGTGGGGATCACGCTATGTTCCATACAAAACCTGACTTTATTGGTTGGCGATCATAAATTGATTTAAAGAACAACAACAAAAACGAGTTGCCTCCAAATTTATTTGTAAATTACTACATCAAGAAAAACGAGTTGAAAATTAGTCTGTTAAAAAAAAAAAAAAGGGATATCAGATCAACAACGACAATACACATACGTGTACATGTATAAATATATTACACCGTTATGATTAATATAAATCAATGAGTTAATACAATTTTTAGTTCTTAAAATTTGATTTGATTTCAAATTTTAGAAACTGAAAATTATATTAATCCTAAATTAATTATGAATATATGGTGCGAAGCCTGTTATGAAGAGATGGAAACAGCTCGTGTATCATAATATTTATATATGTATAGTTTTACTTGGCAAAATATATATAGTTTTACATATTTAGGAAAAACTCATGGATAAAAAAAAATTATTAAGAGATTTCAAGAAAGAAATTTAATTAGTTTGAACATATTGTTATTTTTTATTTTAAAACTTATGGTTGTTTAATCTACACTTTTTAATAAACTTTTTCAATTTTTTTTCCTCCGTAGAAAAAGTCCACCATCTGCAATTTATTGGGGCGTTGTAAAGTTTGGGTCAGAGGTCAGCGACGATTTTGCCATTCTCTTAATTTGGATAAAGGAAGTCCATATCTCAGTTTGTAGCCTGACCAAGGGACATGTGACAGCTTTTGCCTTTTCCTCTTTTAGCAAAATTTTTAATATATATTATTTTTAATTTTTTAATTATAAAGCTTTGTTTGTTCATCATAAGTAAGGTTTTATAATTAGGATTATAATTAGGATTGGAGGTAGTATATAGTTAAAAACTTCACACAAAAAAATTGATAAATTTTTAAAAAACTCCAAGGCTGGCATCAATTATAGTTCGTATTGGAAATACATATTCATATATTTATACAAACTTTAATAGATAAAATTGCATCATTCATTCATAACTTGTGAAAGTAATATATTAATTCTTTTTGAAAAATTATGTTCTTATGCAAAAAGTGAAAGCTAAAAAATAAAATTTATCACACAAATTAGATAATAAGTTATTAATAATATCCTTTAAGAATTTATATCTCATCAAATCAAGCAATAATTTCTTTCTTTTTATTTGAGAAAATTACTGTGAGGCTTTTAAAAAAAATGTAATTACCAAAAAATTCTTAATAAGTTAACATTATAAATTTGTTATGATTTCTTTATATTAGAATTTGTACCGTGCTTAGACTATTTTTCAGTTGTTTTTAACCAACATCAAATCAAGCAATAATGTACACAAGCGAGAAAAAGAAAACGATAACTTGTCAAAAACCGGATACTGATTAAAAAAATAAATTATTCATTAATTACCCCATAATGTTGTTTTGTTATTTAATTTCCCAATTTAGGGGCAGCATTCTCTGCTCTGTAAAGGTTTTGTGATGCCACGAAACCCATTAATGTTTTAGGCAAATTCACAGTGACATTTTTGTATCACCTAACTCGACCTTGAAATTAATCTAACCTTCCTGTCACACTGTGTAGTCATCAAACACATTTCTTATTTTCAAGAGATACATACATATATAAATATAGGTACAAGCTTTCAAAAGCACTAGAAAATACAAGTGGGAACTGATTCTACTTGTATCCCCTAATTACATGATGCATATATATATATATATATATAAATATATATATTTGGAACCTCCGTTGGGATTTCGTTGCAAATTCACAAAGAAATCCCTCATGGTTTTTTTTCCGCCTTTTAAAAAACGGAAAATAAAAAAAAAGGAAAAGCATATATATATATTTTATATTAATTAAAGCAGACCACTATCGTCAAAGTAGTGAAACTTTTCTTCTTCTTCTCAGAGCTTGACGATCTCGGGAATATGAACAGGGTAGCGATCGATACAATCGGCCCAAGGTCCGTCCACCGGCGTGATGCTTTTGTTGCACTTCCACACTGCACTGTTACACTTAAACCCACTTCCGAACGCAATCTGCCATACTCGGTCTCCTTTCTTCATCTTCCCTTTGGATTCGATGTAGTTCAGTTCGTACCAGAGCGACGACGACGACGTGTTGCCGAAGCGGTGCAGAGTCATTCTGGAGGCCTCCACGTGCTCCGCCGACAGCTGGAGGTTCTTCTGCAGCTCGTCGATGACGGCTCGGCCGCCGGCGTGGATGCAGAAGTGCTCGAAGGCTTGCTTGAAGTCAGGAATGTATGGCTTCCACTTGGGATTGAAGATTTTCCGGCCGATCAGAGTGAGAAGAAAGAGAAGCTGCTCGGAAGCTGGCAGAACCAGAGGCCCCATGGTTGTGATGTTCGATTTCAGAGCTTCACCTGCCATTATAGTAAACTTTTAGTATCATTACAAGGACATACATCGTTACGCCATTCAAACTTTTTAATCATAAGTTAATCTTTTCTTTAGCATTTAGACAAAGTTAGCATTTAGGTTACCCTAATTTGTTGAACAAATTTTTTTCCTACCAGTTACAGAAGGAATACTCAATATTCTGATCTAAGTTTGATTCAACAATTTCGGCTGCGCATTTAATGCCCAAGTTAAATTCTGGTTTTCAGCCCGGATCAAATTTGGGCCAGACTGGCGAGGTTTTATTTAAAAATGGATTATTCTTGCCTGAATATTTAAAAATGAATTAAAAACCTTGCCTAAATAGAATACGAGATTTTTTTTTGGGCCAACGGTTTTAAGCGGAAAAATATATAGTTAATTTATTACTAGCTTTTAAGATGATTTGATTTGAGCAAAGATTGCTGAAAAAGATTATGTCATTTTCAAAAGTGTATTTCCTTTTTAAGAATTTTTTTCCAATTTCAAAGATAAACATCAATTATCAATCAGTATATCAATATATGATCAACATCAATCATAAATATAAAATAGAGTTATAGTGAGTCAAATTTTCAAAGATCAAAAAAATTTTCAATGGTGTGCGAGTCAAATTCCTCCGATTTTGTCTATAGCATAAAAAACCTGTAATTCCTCAAATTTCTCAAAATAAATATTTGTGAAATTCTAGTTGACACATGTTCAATCATGCCATGCATAAAGTTTTTTTTTTTTTTAATGTCTTCAAAAGCAAAACGACAAGAGAGAGAGAGAGAGAGAGAGAGAGACGCCGTATTGCAGCAGGTTCAACTTCAAACTAGGTTTAATTAGTTTGGATTTCTCAATTTAATTAAACTTTAAAAATTCACAGAGCAATGCGTTAATGTCTTCAAAAGCAAAAAGACAGAAAAAAAAAAAGATTGAGTTCAACTTCAAACCATGTTTATTAGTTTGGATTTCTAAAACTAAAACTTTAAAAATTCACAGAGCAATACGTTCAGAAAAGCCCAATTTAACCTGACAATTAAAAAAAGGATTAAATTAATTAATCTCTGTGGTGCTAACCTGCTATAGCCATGAGGTCCTTGGACAGTGAAATCCCCACCTTCCCTTCTTTATCCTCCTCTTCAAACACACACTTATACGCTTTATCATCGGCTCCCTTGTGGGTTCGAACCACATGGACCAATCTGTACTTGGCTCGCCGGCGTTCCGACCTCCGGTTCGACAACAGTATAGCCGCGCCGCCCATTCTGAACAAGCAGTTCGGCAGAAGCATGGCCCTCTCGTTCCCTTGGTAATAGTTCGGAGTAATAATCTCCGTGCTCACCACGACGGCGTTCGAGTTCGGATGCACCTGAAGAAGATCACGAGCCAAGTCGATGGAGATCAACCCCGCGCTACAACCCATCCCCGATAAATTGAAGCTCTTGATATTACTCCTCAGCTTGTACTTGTTAATCACCATCGCCGACAACGACGGCGTCGGAGAGAACAGACTACAATTCACGATGAGAATATCGATGTCCTTAGGTTTCAGGCCGGTTTTCTCAAACAGTGAATCCATGGCGGAGAATATAACTAGCTCGGCCTCGCCTCTGGCGGCTTCCATGGTGGGCTTGGGAGGAATATAATGAATCGCCGGCGGGAGGCATGTCTCTTCACCGAGGCCGGAACGTTCGAGAATCCTCATTTGGAACTCGACGCTCTTCGGGCTGTCCTTGAGGTTGAGCCTGGAATGTTCCATGAAGGTGGAGAAAGGAACGCGACATGTCACCGGAGGCTTGAAACAGGCGTAATCAACAAGAAAAATGGTGCGAGGCTTGGAGGAGAAGTAGATGGTGGCGATGAAAATGATGAGGAATGAAGAACAGAGGATTTGAACAAGGTCGAAGTGAAGAGAATTCAAGAGTTTCAGAATCTCATCAGGGCCTAAACGGAGAAGCTCGATCGAGACAGCAACCATCACAGGTATGAGAGCGAAGATGAGAATGTGATTTACAAGATATTGATACCCAAGTTTCACGTACTTGAGCCTAACTGAGTTGGAGAATTCCGGCAAGACTGGAGGCATCTTCAAGACTTGAAAAAACTGATAATATAAATTAACAAAGAGAAAGGAGGAGGAGAAGGAGGGGGAACGGGAAGTTTTTGAGAATTGAGATTTGAGAATGAGAAGGGAAGGGTTGGGTGAGGTTTTAAAGGCTAAGGGGGGCCAAGTTAGATGAAGAGAATAAATGAAGAACGTGACGTCACTTCAACGCTCCCTTAACCTCGCTATTAATTCTTCTTTTCCACAACCTCTAATCTTACTTGTTCATATTTTTTCACAGGTAATTCCTTATTGAAAGACCCTTCATTTATATGATCCACTTTTCTTTTCTTTTTTTTTCCGAAAATTATCTGATCGTCCCATGCATCCACGTTGGCTTGATTTCACTATTGTTTATTTGTAGGCCAATGTGGTTGTGTTACTTTTCATCATTAAACGTGGGATATGCAAATCAAAGTCCAAGATTGTCTTGTTTTATTACCAACTTTGGGTGACATCGATCATCTTCCCCCACATACATCAACAATAAAACCGCGTGCCATGGATCTCTGCGAAAATTAAATAATGAGAAAGATGATTGATTATAAATGGGACCAAACAAAAAAAATAACTCGCTAGTAAGCTTGCCAGGTGCGCCTCCATTGCGGTTTATAATTTATTATAAGTTTATTTAAATATAACACATATAGATATAACTGTTATAGATTGCTTAGATAGACAATGATTAAGTACCTTTTTGAAAAATTATATAATCTTTTGGTGCACTACTCATTTGATCAATCTATTATAACTCCTTCATTCTTTGTTATAAAATTTAATTAATTAATTTGAATATATTATAAACTGGAGGAGTACTATTAGTTGTGATCACATAAGAAATTTTTAGAACCTAACATCAATTTATAACAAAAATCTCGGTAGAAATAGACATAATTTTTTTTTATATGCTCTAAAATGTTACTTGGAAAACCAATTTTTTAAACTGTATATGGAAAATTCCATAAAAATAACCATGAAATTATTATTTTCCAATTCAGGCATCTAAGAATTGAAAATGACAGAGAAGATGTTTGATCTAATATTTTGCATATAGAGTCAAATGACTAAAATGTCCTTGTATCATATTTGAAAAGGAAAAAAAAAAAACTATCGAACTTGTTACTGACAGTGCATTTCTTGTCATTGGCTATTCAGCACTTGTCATTGCTAGTTCATAACTTGTTAATAAATAACTTGTTATTGTTAATATATTTCTTGTCATTTGCTATTTAACACTTGTCATTGCTGATTCAGAACTTGTCAATAAACTTCTTCATATAATGGCATTTCAGTTATGTAACTACATTTGGAAAATACCATATCAGATATTACTTTCTTTTCTGTCATTTTCAACTCTTAGATACCTGATTTGGAATAGCACATTTTTCAGCTTCTTTATTGGCATTTTTCCAACTCTTTATCACAAATTGGAGGGGTGAAACGCGAAATAGTTAAATTTTATAGCAATGTGATTTATACATACAGTGACTATATCACTTAGGTTCTTATTACAAGTTATTTACAAGAAAATTTTTTATCCTAAATATAACTCACTAGACTATTTTTTAATTTTATTCTCATTTAATTCTCATTAAAAAAGAGAGAAAAAAGAAATAATATGAGAATAATTTAGTAAATGAAAAGAGGGAGAGAAAACTTTAATAAAAATAAATTTGAAAAATTTTATTAATTTACTGCATTCTTTAGTATTTAGGAAATGATTTATAGTAAGGACGGGTGTGGTATGAAAGCATTTATTGTGCGGTTAATTTGAAATAATTATATTGTCACATGGTAAGGAAAACATCATTTCAAAGCTGCCAATACATACACACATGCAAATATCATTGACTTCTTCATATTTGTCAATTCTTGGGAAACATGAAAGACAGTAATCTTGGCCATGCGTTCCCACGTTCGAAGAGAAAAATGAAGTCAAAGAAATATACACAGCACATCGATTATTAGTTCTTCATATCCCCACCGTTAAATTTTTGTCTATGTGCTAATTATCGAGGTTTAAATGAAAAGAACAGTACAATATATAATAACGTATTAACACAACAACTTAAAGTTTCAAAGGGCGAAAAAAAAAATATGCTCATATCATAATCTCAAGTATACAAGGCACGAGAGTTTGTTTCTTTAACATTTTCTATTTATGTCGATAACTGAAAAAGCAACGTAGTAATTGTTGTCCACAGAAAGAATATTTATACATCTAGTATGTTCCATTCTCTATAGATACATTTTATGATTTTTTTTTTCTGTGTCTGAACTAAATTTATGACCCGAAACAGTTTAATGAGCTTGGCCTAGCTAGTTATGTTTTGGGAATTTTTTTTTTAATTCGTAAAGGAGTAGCGGTATTTTCACCACGTATATTTAAGGTATATATATTTTAATCAGTTAAATTTTTAATATAATATAATTAAGAAGACTTATTTCTTCAGTTATACATTTACTTATGCATGTGGCAGACCTGTGAAACTTCCTGGACTTATTTGTGTATGTGTATACATTGTGCACATTGAATTAATGTGTAATTAATTATTAATTCAACTCTTGGTTATTCAAGTTATATAATACTATCTTCAATCATTAACATAAGATCTAGTTGACTAATTTGATGAGATCAAAAAAATTAGTTAAGTTAATTATTTGTAATAAATAAGTATTATTTTTCCTAAAATACCTTTGATAATTATCTGTATTAACTAAAACTACCATTTGATGAAACTTTTAACATGCGCAACCACTATAAGAATTATTTTCAAAAAAGTGAATAAATATAAAAGACAAAATAAATTGGGTTTTATATTTAAGATTAAATTAAAAGTCAAACTAGCTTTTATATTAAAAAGCAAATTATCAAATTTCATCAAACCATAACCATTCTTTACTGGAGAAGTGGTGATAGTAAACATACGATAACAATAAATCCGTAGAGATGAATTATATTGAGTCACTGTCGCAGTCACGGTCAAATAAATAAAAAAAAAACAAAAAGAATTGAGTCACCGCACATACTCCACAGGTGATTCTGTTCCAAACTTCCAATTTTAGAATAGAGTTGGTCTTTTTTATAAATAAAATTTTGCACATGTCTAAAAATTTTATTTATTTCTTTTCATTTTTATCCTATTAATTGCATATCTTTGTGTTTATTATTATATAGCTAAGAGTTATTATATATTAGAGAAGAGACAATCATATTTAAGATACTATCATGTACTAAATATGAGAACGTTTCTTAGTATTCTCTTTCATTTGATAGACTCTATCTCGTTTACTTTTGCACATATTCTCTCTCACTTTCTTTTTCCCTATTCATTGTGTTTCTTATTGTCTTCATAAATAAGGATGTGTTTAAAATATATATATTTCTTAAACATTTATCACCTTTAATCACTTTTAATCAACTTTTTTATTTACATAATTGAGTATTTGTATCTTATATATAGTATTGAAGGGAGTATAATTCATACCATAGATAGATATGAAGGGGTTAAAAAATAAGGAAACCGTCAATGACAACGATCTTTTTTCACCTAATGACATGATTGATCCAACGTTGTCTTCTTGAGATTGATAATGCAAGACTAAGTCTTCTCGCGTGCACTTAATATCTAATTGGTCAAACAAGTGGCTGGCCAGTGAATATTAAATGCTCTATAATCTGCAGCTAAGAAAGATGGAGATGGCTGGCTGGCAATCATTTTCTTTCTTTCTGTCGTTCATTTTTTTTCCCCCATTTCTTGCTTCCTATCAAAAAAACACATGCTGGCAAAAAAAATTTAAAAAACGCAAAGTATATTTTCACAAAATTAGATGATGGAGGCAGTCCTATTTAAGATATTATTGAGCATTAAATATAAGTATCTCTTTTAATAGGAATTTAACTCTTGATTTGTTGTATTGTCAAAGATTATCCCCTTCCATCAAACCTAACTGCCATTGGTTCGGCTCTCTTTGTGTGTGTTTGATAGGCATTTAATCACATAATAAAATTATAACTAATAGAGTTATTATGAATATTATATTTTATAATAATATTGAAAAGATTTTGTAAGTGTTAACCTCTTTTTATACATGAATTGTAAGCATATCAATTAAATAAAATTCAGTATTACATATACTTTATATAACAGTAATATTTTCTATTTACTATTAAGCATTTCCTGTCCATATATGTGTTTTCTACGTAAAAAGTGTTTATTTTTTTCACATAAAATTTTGGCCTGTTTCCATTTATTTCTTAAAGCACAAAAAATGAGGTATTCGAAATTTATCATGTTTATATCATTATTCTTCAATAATTACTTTTTATTAATTATGTTTTAATCTTGAGATTAAATTTTTTTTATCATAGTGCAATTGTTTTATTCAAGTCAACCGTATACCTTTTTGGTGAAAAAAAAGGCAATCCTATACTTTGTTTGCTTATAAGATGGATTAAGGTGTGATTGGATGGGGTTTACAAGCCAGAACCAGGTTTGGGGCCACACGCGTAATACCCCAAAATATGATGCTATGGTATATTGGTATATTACCAGTTATCCAATGATGAGTTGCGCCTATTTGTCATGATAAATTAATTAGAAATGTTTTTATAGGAGCGTTACGTTGAAATAAATTTTATTGTTTATGACGACTTATGAGTATGAAATAGTGTAATTTATTATATATTTTATATTTTATAATATATTATACTAGTTCTTTTTTTATTGCATTTTTTTAAATTATACTCCTCCGGTCCTAATTATAAGACCCAATTGACTTATTTGAGGAGATTAAGGAAGTAAGTTAAGTTGGTTATTTATAATAAATAAGTGTTGTCATTCCTAAAATATCCTTGCTAATTAAGTATACTGGCTAAAACTATCATTATTAGAAGGATTATCTTGGAAAAAAATGCATAAATATAAGAGACAAAATGAATTGGGTCTTATAATTAGGACCAAATAAAAAGTCAAATTGGGTCTTATAATAAGGACCGGAGGAGTACTTATTTTTTAACACTTAGAACCCTATAAATTGTATGCAGAAATATCAGGTGAAAAAGAAAACAAA